ATAGCCCAAGGCCTGATGTAAGTTTCTACTCGATGCGCAGTGGTACTAATACCAGCCGGGTCTCAAAGCTCACAACTATTAAGGGCAAACAGGCAAACGCACTTTATTGGTCACCAGCTGGTCGCTTTATTATACTGGCAGGGCTGAAAGGTTTGAATGGACAATTGGAGTTCTTCAATGTTGAAGAGCTTGAAACCATGGCTACGGCTGAGCATTTCATGGCAACAGACGTTGAATGGGATCCCACAGGAAGGTAACGTCATTGACATATAGCAGTGAAGATTTAATGGCATTGCTTTTTCATTTTTATGCTTTTAGTTCACAGCACGAATAAGATTGCGGTGCTGAATGACTTAACTGTATCTGTAAAAATTGGTTGATTATGATCTCACATGAAGCCAAATCTTTTGTTTGTGACTTGAAATTTTCTCTCTATAGATATGTTGTCACATCAGTTACCTCGGTTCATGAGATGGAAAATGGTTTCAATGTCTGGTCTTTCAATGGCAAGCTGCTATATAGAATAATGAAGGACCATTTCTTCCAAGTAAGTACTGTTCTTCTACTTGTTGGCAAGTGGACTTGGTCTACAAATCTCAGTTCCTACCAACAGCAAATTAGTCTATTCCTCTTGAGGCAGATTTTTTGCTTGAATAATTCATCCTCTCGTTTCAGTTTTTGTGGCGCCCAAGACCTCCATCCGTCTTGAGTCCTGAGAAAGAAGAAGAGATTGCTAAAAACTTGAAGAAATACAGCAAGAAGTATGAAGCAGAGGATCAAGATGTTTCGTTGCAATTGAGCGAGCAGGATAGAGAGAAGAGAAAGACGTTGAAAGAAGAGTGGGATAGGTGGGTTGGCCAATGGAAGCGTTTGCATGAAGAACAGAAATTGGATAGGCAAACGCTACGTGATGGTGAAGCTAGCGATGAGGAAGAGGAATACGAGGCAAAAGAAGTTGAGGTTGAGGAGTTATTGGATGTTTCTGAAGAGGTTATTTCCTTCGACTAAGGTGAAAGGTGTTGAAGGAAACTTGGCGACTGTGATATCTCCATTCATCTGATAAGATTTGGACAATAGGCGTGAAGCCCAGCTTCCAGGATCCTCTCGGAAGTTATGGGTAAATCGTTTTCTTCTCATCACAATCCATTTAAACTTTTGACTGTATCGACAACCGCTGCAAAGAATTTTTTTACTGGTAGCAATGCGAGGATTAGTATGAATTTGATTGGTATTTAATTTTGACTAACTTGGTGTCGCTGAATGATGCATATGCTTGGTTAAAGTTGGAGTGAATTGTCCAAATGATTACTAAACTTTGTAAAAAGTTTTCAAAGGATTACTGAACTTTAATAAAATCTAAATGGTCATTGAACTTTGCAAAAGATTTCTACATGTCACTAAACATTAAAAATCACTTCAATGGTCACTGAACTTTGCGAAAGATTTCCTCGAGGTCACTAAATTTTGCAAAAGGTTTTTACGGGGTTACTGAATTTATTGACGTTTGGAAAATATTTTTCAAAGTTCAGTGACCATTTAGGTGATTTTTAAAGTTTAGTGACCTCGTAGAAATTTTTTACAAAGTTCAGTGATCATTTAAGTGATTTTTTAAATTTAGTGACCCTTTAGAAACTTTTTGCAAAATTCATTGACTATTTAGACAATTCACTCCTAAAGTTGTGTGAGGGTTAAATTTGGGTTATGATTTTTTGGTAACAATGGGATGTTGTTTCAGAAGATATGTATCGAGTGTTTTAGGCCTCTTTACTTAGGGGCAGTGGTAAATTCAGGAGTTTTTTTTTTTTTTTTTTAATGAATTTAGCTTCTACAGTTATCTATAATCACACTAATGAAAACCGTCAATTTGGACTTGAGCTGCAAATTTTTTAAAGATTTGGTACCTACGGTGACACAAATGAAAGGTTTTGATCAAGTCTGTTACTAAATGAACAGTTTGGAATTTTCCCTTAAGTATATATATGGTATTTTAAGAAACAAATACTTCAAGAACGAAAAATATTGATTTCGAGTTAAGTTGTTTTAATTGTTTTTTGATGTTTTATTAGATTAATATGAAATCAAATGGAGTGATTCGTATGATCCAAACTAAATTTTACGAGAATCAAGTTAAGGGATTTATTTATTTTTTTTGTGGGTTCAAGTGGAGAAGTTTGATGATTTTGTAGCTTTTTGTAATATACGCAAATTTCAACTTATGCTCCATTTGTATAGGAAAATATCTAGTAAATACTAATTTTCAATAAATGTTTATCTTTCATAATTGTAAACCATGTCGATACGCTACGTTGCTTGAAATTAAAAATAAGGAAAAGTAAAATTAAATATCAAAACTAGCTATCGATTCGAATGGTAATTTGGTATCATCCATTTATCTTTATCACATGATACAAAAAAATTGGGCAACCAATTTCTGAAATATATTGTGAAAAATAAATGTGGAATAAAAAACTTAACCAATGGCAAGTCTTGAAGGACCACTAGGCCTAACTTAGAGCCAACCATTCCATTCGTGGAAGTTAATATCGTAATCATGATTGCAGTCATAGATTAGGGCTGAACAACGAAATCGTCAAACTGCAAAATTGAATCGAAACAATTTTTCTGAAATGTTGGTTTGATTCCACGTGGATCCGTCAACGTTTAGGTTTCAAATTAAATCAAATCATTTCGAAGTGGTTTGGTTTATGATTCAATATTTGCACATTGTGGAAATAAATTAGTCTAAATTTTATTTAATCCAATTAAAATCCACTTTGAATTTGATAAATACATTGCTTGTGAATTATGTGTTCGTGTATGTCCTATAAATTAATTTAACATATTTCAGTTAAAAAGTTACATCTATATTAGACATAATTCAATTGAACTCAATTCGACAATTTTACATCTCAATTGATTAATTAAATCATATCTAAATACTCATTAGCCAGCAGAATTATGAATATAAAATCATTAAATTGAATAAAGTGTTGAACAATTGTCGCTAAACTATATTCATTGATTCTTCATTACAATTGAGCAAACAATTAAATCTAGATTTTAATTCAAACTTGCATATTTCATTTCCTTCTACTAATAATTTTCTTAAATTTTGCCTAAATTCAAGTCAGATTATCCAAATTCTTTTATTTTTTGGTGATTTTTTCTATGTTTTTATTGATAGTTATGTTGTTTTGTTCTAATAATTATCAGGCTTCCTTAAAGTAATTCGTTGATATTTGGATGGAGTAGAAGCATTGAATGATTCACAAAAAGTCACCGTAACTAGGTATTATTGTATTTTATTCTTTTATTTATTTTCTTTTATTAGTTATTTTATACCATTTAATTATAATCAATGAATTTATGTATTATATTTTTATATTTATGAAGAGAATGAATCGTGTATTACAATTGTAAATGGATGTCATTAGTATTGATTAAGAGTTTAAAATTTTATATCATGTTGTTGCATTATGTGTTGTTTGTTAGGGAATTTGATAATTGATTTTTTGACTGTTAGAGATAAAGTGGATCCTACCTGTGAGAAAATAATTCAAAAATGACGTCTGAAATAGTGAAATAACGGTCAAAAAATTGATTTTAGTTGGCTTTTAAGCTATACCCAAGCTCTATAATGATTATAATTTTGATTTGTAATTTTTTTAATAATACAACTTATGTTTTAACGTGAAAATTTAGACTAATATTTACAATTTAACTTATTTGATATACAAATATGTATATTTTTTTTCATTGTTAAACCATGGTTTTAAATCGAGCCAAACCGAAAAAAATAGTTTGGATTGGTTTGGTTTAGAAATTGAAGTGGTTTGGTTTGGAAAAATTCCAAACCGCTTTAAATGGTTTGATTTGAAAATTTGTTTTAAACCGTTCAAATCGAACCGTGTTCACTCTTATCATAGACATGGATGTGAAAGGATAGGTGAGGAATTAATTCTGACGTTTGTTTCATTCATAGGATCTTTAAATCATATTTGATTTTTACATTTTATCTAAGGTTGGATATGGTTCGGTTCAATTTTAGTTCTCCAAACTCGAAATTTTCAGATATTTAGTAAGTGAAACCTTCAGTTCTAAATTTAATTGTGGAACCGGTCGGATTCGGTTCCATTCGGCTCTCAGGTTCCATATTATAATTAATTTTTTTTATATTTGCAAAACTACATTAATTCAATTAATGATATGTTCAATCTTAACTCTTACAAAATAAAATAGTTCAATATTATGTGTCTTTTGCGCCTCTCTTGTTGTCAAGTTTCAATTCGATTTCCCCAGAATGGTAGTAACAGCACTGAGGTAGGGTAATAGATTTGGATGAAACTTAGGTCAGTTTGATTAAATTGACTTTGAACTTAAAATTAGAAATAGGAAAATCATTTTTTGGGTTTAAGCTAAATTAACTAGCTAGAAAATTTATTTAGAAAAAATAAAATAATTTCACTTATTTAAAATAAATTAATTAAAAATTGGAAAGATTCGATTATTCGGTTCAAATCTATCGGTTCTCCATTCGGATACCCGTTCGAGTGTTTAACTTAAGAAGAATCGTTCGGTTCGATTCAGAAGTTATGTCCAGCCCTAATTTTATCTGTGTTGAACTCCAAAGTTAGTCGATCTTGCTTAATATATTCTGTTTCACGTTTTTATCTATTTATATGTTACTTGCATACTCTGACGCAAAATCATTAAGCATCAAGACGTTTGAAGGGAAAAGGCCAGTAATTGGTACTTTGAAGATCAAATTAATGTTGAAAAATAGTAATAGTAGATTATGAGGAAATTGCGTATGGAAAAAACGAGTGGAAATTTGGTTAAAAGTTTAAAGAATTGTGTACATTTACCTTTACATATACATAAATCCATTACCTTAAAAGACTCTTATCATAAAGTACTATTCATAGTTGAGTTCGAAAACACGTAAAGTGGATAGTTACTGTTCATCATCCAGTTTTTCCACTATTCAATAAATATCTATTGTTTAAAGCTCTTTTTTTCTCTCTCTCACACTCCACACGGATTACTCAGCTGAGCAGATCTTAATTAACTCCTCTCTCTCTCTCTCCCCCTCACGGAGGAAGAAAGGCAAAATCCGAAATACATACCCACGCCCACACGCTCTCGTTGTTATTCTTTTTTGGAACGCTATCTTGCAAATTATGGGAAAGGTTTGAAATTTTAAGAGTTGTTTGATTTTTGTTTACAGTTTTAAGTCTATGTGTTTGCTATTATTTTTTGAGCTTTTTTCTTTCACAAACTTCAACATTTGAGATCTGGGTGCAATACTTTGTTATGAATTTTGGTTGAGGTGTGTAACATTCGGGTTTTCATTAAATTCATCTCATACGTATTGTCAACTGCAGTTTAGTAAGTGCAATTTAAGTTCTTGGAATCGCGAATTTTCGTGTTCATTTGCTGCCAAGCCTTTTAATTATGCTCACAGAAGAGGATTTTCCTATTTAAGGTAAAGTAATTCCACTTTATTCTTAATGAGCCTTCATTTTATCTTAAAAGGCTTGTGAATTTTGATTCTACATTTGTATAATTTTAAGTGCCTATGCTTCATGATCTGGTGTATTCTTTACTCGTATTGATTTATTGATTTGAAGTTTATGCCCTAATTAAAGCAATACAGACTAATTTGGATTTTATTTCGATTATAATCGATCATAATTTCTGCTCAAAACGAATTAACATGGTCATATTAAATGGTAAACTTAATTGTTATGATAAATTATAGAGAAAGATGTTAAAATCTGCTTCGTGATATCTGTTGTCGTCGAAGGCTGAGTTTTAGGAGTGGAATGTAGTTATGTTCCAGTATGAATTTGAACTCTTGAAGTTTGGTTTTTCATATACTGGAATGAGTATTGTAGCCAGGGGCGGAGCAAGGATATGAGTTTAGTGCGGGCAAAAAAATTTCGACACTGAACGTCAAGATTTTGGTCGTGAATTTGATGATGATAAAAAAAAAATGAAACAATATTATGACAATACTAAAAATGACATAATTTATATATTACACTTGTTCCTTACAAGTTTTCATATTTTGATATTGTTGTACAATAACTTCATTATTGAGTTTCAAAAATATATCTCACTATATAAGAAATTGTGCTATCATTTTTCTCCCCCAGTAGAATCGAATTCTATCTTCGGATACTCAGTTTTATTAAAAGAAAAACATGCAGAAAATGAAATCAAGAATCATATAAAACATGCAAACAATAATTGTGCACTTTAATTCTTGCACTAAGAGCAAGCCGTAGCCAATAGCCATGGGCAACTAGAGATTTTAGAGGATGAATGAAATGGACCTATTAATAAAAGATATAGGAAGACTGTTCTCAGGACAAATGCCACAGACGGAGCTCTTACTGTTCTAGACTAGGCTGCACATTCATAGGTTTATAAAGCTGCAAGAGTTGAAACAAAAGACACATAGAAATAGAGATAGAGATAGATTTAGTGAGAGAAACAGGAATGAGGAAATCATTACACAGCATTTCCACTCATTTCTCTTGCACCCTCTAAAGTCCATCCCTCTTCTCTCTATATCTCTCATTTAAAAGCTCAGTGCAGGCATGGTTTCCTCAACATTTCCACTCATTTCTCTTGCACCCTCTAAAGTCCATCCCTCTTCCATCTATATCTCTCATTTAAAAGTTCATGCCTGCACTGGACTTAAGGTAGCTCTGACCCTGATTGTAGCCATAGCATTTGTTAACTTTTGTCTATCAGCCAGAATGAGCAAGTACAATGATTGTTTTTTATTCAGTTTCTGAGGGGTGAACATGGTAAAATTATTTGTTCTTGTGGATAGATATGATGCTTGTTGGAACTTTCTGCAATGAGCTTAAACAGTGAGTTGATATGCTACCTTCCCATCAGTGTGATGTGTAAGACAATACGAGACATGAGTGTAGTTATGAAATCAATCATGTTTTATTTAACTGCAATATGGCATGAATCCAATAGGGAGATATGATAAACACCCTTAATGCCAAGTCTTACAATGTAAGATTATCCATTATACTTGTGTGATGGTGGTGATTATTGACAATCCTTACCTTTTGTTCACAGTAACATTCTAGATTTTTTTTATTAGGCAGCACTAGCTTTCGCCTTTCACACAGGACTTGGTTTCTTGTCATTATGCAATTTATGTGAATTATTAAACTGAAGTGAGCTTACTTGGTTTTCTATTTCGGGCTGAAGCAAGCTTGATCGTGAATACCAACTTTCCCATCTTCAAATAAATTGGATCATAGTACTTGTAGACCAACATGTAGGAGGGAAAGTAGACAATATTTATCAGTGTTTCCAAAAGCATGTAAGGCTTACTTATTCAGCTCCACCTTATGCAAAGCTTCAACTAAAAGCCTCAAAGTTTGCTTATTGACAGTCATGTGTAAGGCCAATACCTTGGCTTACTGATGTGTATGAGCTCGTTAATATTATCCCTTTTCAGCCACTTTTACTACCATCAATTTTTTGGGCGGGTTTTTTCATAATCTAAAACTTTTAAGGATTTTTGGGGTTGTTTTAACTATAGTACAAGTCCTTTTAGTAAAGAAGTTCCCGTTTTAAAGAGTGTATTGTATAAAATATGTGTTATTTAATAAGCATTAATCCTTCAAAGGAATGGTAGAAATGAAAGTAAATTTGCAACAGTTATAGAACTTTAAGTCTAGATGTAATGATTAAATATTATTCTATGTATACCATCTTAGTTCTGCTATCTATAAATGATTTACACCTAGAAGCTGGACATGTTTTACAAGGTGTAATAAAGCAAAAATATAGGAACTCATTAGGAAACTAATGATAGCAATCATATTATGCATGTTCCTCCTTGTTCAAGTGCTCTTTTTGATGTCTCATCGGGTTGTTAGGTACTTTTCCAGTTCGTATGCTTTTCATTGGAGTATGGTCCTATATTTTATTTTGAATGATTACTTATTATGCATAATTCAGCATGTTCATTACAAGAATTGCATTCTATGCTTTTTGCAGCGAATATAAGTGGAGTGAACATTGACTGATGACCAAGGAGATGAATTTGAGGACGTGCTACATGTGTTGACTTTAGAAAGAACCCATATTAAAGAAACTATGGGTTTTTCCTTGGATAATACTGATACGGCTAGAGAGGTAATTGTTTAGCGGATTTTACTGTAATTTGTTTTTTGGCTCGTTGAATAAGATCTCGAGCCACGTAATGCCTTTTAAGCTATGAACTTAATCTAAATTTAAGATTGGCTCTGAAATAACATGGGCAATGAGGTTAAAATTGTTAATTATGTAATTCAAGTTCTAGGCTATCCATTTGATACATTATATTTTTTTTTGTACGTAGCGGATGGAGGTGGTGTTGCAGGCAAAAGATGCACTGGAATCGGCTTATAGAGGAGAAGGCGCTGTCAAGTCAATCTGGTTCTTGTTTATTTCAAAAAATCTCATGATTTTGTATGTTTTCTTCTCCTCTGTTTTCTTCTTACCTTTTATCGGATCAACTATTTTTGGCTTTCATTTTTCTTATATTGTGAATTTTAAGACCTATCTCTTGATATAGTATATAAATATTATCTTTAACATACTGATTTTATGAAAGAAACTCCCTTTTAATTATTTATTGATATGTCTGTGTAATTTGTTCCTCCATATACCGTTAGGCATTAGTTGAGGCCAATTCTTTTATTCTTATTTGCTCATGGACCATTTATCTTCAGGGATGGAGAATGATGCATTTTGCTGTAGTTACATTGTTCTTTCATTGAGTAATCCATTCAACTGTCTCATACTGCATCCCAGCATCTCTTAGATCTGCCACTTTTATTTCATACAACCTTTTGCGTGTGCATGTAATTATATTGTATTTTTCACTATCTTCGGGATTTATCGACTATCGTATGCATTCTTTGACAGTGCCATTAACTGATTTGCTGGAGTCTGATATGGCTGATCTTTTGTAGGTGGTCAACATCTCTGAAGAAATTCTGAAGGTTAAAAAAGATATTAAAAATGAGTTTTCTGGTGTTGATCCAAGCTGGGGTCATGGGGAAAGCAATGTGAGTTTGTCTGGATTTGATCACAAAAACATCTGTCTTTCCTATTTAAGCCAAACTGCTACAACTATTTTGTGGGATTCTTGTTCATTCTTTATTTTTATTTTTATTTTTAATTTTTTTGTGTACATCCTTTTGCAGTTTATAGAAATTGGTGGAGGCCATTAATTCGTCCTTTTTTCCTCGTTGCATCCTTTGATGATAAATAATAGGCTATGATTTGCTTTTTATAAGTTCCAAATCAGGCTCAAGGTCGTTATTCTGAAACATATAATCGTAACTGGCGAAATCGGCCTGCACAATTTCTTGTTACTAGAGGGAGATCCTGGGAAGCTATTCGAGACAGAGACTTTGGTGGACGGTTTGTTTCTAGGCAACAAGAAGTAAACCAATACAATAGGCAAGAGCAACTAAGCTTGCAGTTTGCAAGATCTCAAAGCCATGGGGTAATTAAAGATAATCCTTGATACTGGTGTTTTCCTGCACTTAATCTTTGTTTTTGAGTGCCTGTGTGAACTAAAAGCATGTTGGACACATGTTTATAATGGTTTAAATTATAAATAGATAGAAATAAGTGGTGGATAAATGGATAGTGGTTGTGTGTACCTCGAAATATGTGGATAATGAGTGCGAGGGTTTGTAAACAGTTTATATACATAAGCTAAACATAGGCTTAAGTACCTGATTCAAATCAACAAGCTATCCTATCATTTTCTTTTGTAAAATATAGGGAAAAAAAGTTAGTAAAGTTCCATGAAATCTTGTATATACTATTTGTTATATCAAAAGATACTGTTTTATTACAATTCAATATTACTGGAATTGTTTGTTAAAAATGTCAATGCTTCCAAAACATGCTGATGGCGTATCCTCGAAGGCTTAAAATTTAACACACTGGTCATCAAATCAAATCAGTTGCACATTCAATAAAGATTAAATTATCTTGTGTCAGCTCATCCTCAAGATAATATGTTCATAAGTTTAGTAACAAGAAGTTTCTACCAAACACGCTAGCATTACCTTTAAAAACAACACAATCCGTGTATTGTCCGGGCAAAAAACTAGTATATATGGATGAAGCTTACGAGGCTTCAACTGTAGTTCACAAGCATCGCCCTCATTGGCCTGAGAATTATTACATTGTAGAGCATCTCAATGCAATCTTTGATTGCTTAAAATAATGTGCCACATAAGCAAATAAATGGTATTTAAAAAAATTAAATAAATAAACAAATTGACTTTCAAATTATGGAGAAATCCGACATATATGATTAGAAGAAGATTCAATTGAAATAGATTAGATAGGATTTTCATTTGAAGAAAGACAAAATAATTGAAATGGAGCATGAAGAAATTACTGATTCTTAAACAAAAATTTCTCTTTTTCAAATTTGGGAAAATTAGAAAATGGTAAAGGAAGTCGAGAACTATTACGTCCACTTCAGTCATTTTTTTCCTTTCCTTTTTAATTTTCCTTACTGTCACCGATTTCGACCTCAATTCAGTTCCAATTCAACTCTTCGATCCTGTGATGAACGCCAATTTTTTTTTTAAAACATTGATAGAAAACAAAATTGACGAGATGATTTTTTATTATTTAGAAAAAGATACAGTATCTCTGTAATACTGAATGATCTCAACAAGTGTTATATATATATATATGTTCATTATAACACTTATGTCCTTAATGATTTTTCATGTTATTCTTATCCTCAACTTTTTATTAGCTAACACATTTTGTATTTGATAATAATTTTATGTCCGAAAATTTGTTGTGATGAGGTAAAAGAACTTATTTATCATCATATTTTTAAAAATAAATAAATAAAAAGTGCAAAAAATATTTTCCCTCATTTCAAAACATGAAAACAAAATATTTTGATATAAATCATAATCAAGGACAAAACATACTAATTAATAAAAAGTTGAAGATAAGAATTCGACGAAAAAACTAAAAAAATAACTGCAAAAATAAGTGAAGATTGATGAACTTAACTTCAATTAGAATTTAATATGACAAATAAAAATTGTGGTGTCAATATAATCACCATTTTCAATATTGTACCAAGAAAACCATTAGTGCTTGGAGTCAAAGAATCAAAATATACAAATATATTGGAAAATTTGTTAATTCTATAGCATATTTCCAAAAAATTACTTTTAAAAAAGTAATTCTTCTGAATAAAGAAATAATTTTAAAGATCATGCATAAACTTCTTACTTTTAAGTTTTAACGCAACCTAACATACTCTAAACGTGAAAAAAAAAAAAAAAAAAAAAAAAAAAAAAG